TTGCGGACGCTTGCGGACGCTTTGCGAACACAACGCAACGACCTCGCGTCGCCTCCTGGACCCCTGGACCCCAACTTTAAAACGGGAACCCTTCTGCTACGCATTCGGGAAAATCGAAATTCAGCTAGGAAGGTGGCATGCTTGGGGTCTAGGGTCACTTAGGTGAAGGGTTGAGGGCTTAGGGTTAAGGTTTAGGGTGTATGGTTTACGGTTTAGGATTCAGCTCAGCATTTAAAGTGCACAGCCTCCCCTAGCCACGTGGAATCTAGACAATGCAGCGAAGGGTGCTTACTTTCAGCTACAAAGATCAGGATATGGCATCCTTTGCAGAAGGATAGAAACTACAATAGCTGTAGAAGTACTTCAAACCGAAACTAATTACAGGCCCGTGTCATGCAACAGCAGCAACAGTAACAACAGGTTCAGGCCCCTGAAGGTGTGCGCTCGAAGGTCTGGCAGCGTCTTTAAAGGTCTTGGAAACTTACAACTACAACTAGTTACAGTTGATAAATATCCCATGTAGCTTCCGAACGAGCAAACTCTAAAGCTAAGTGGACACGTCTTGAGTGTGAAGGTAAGTTTCCTACGAATTAGCTTGCGGAGTACATCTCAGTCGCACTCCCGTGCTGACGCGTGCCCTGTACGAGTTTTTGATCTTGACTCCCAGAACTTAAAAAAATGACTGGCAGTTTCAATCAGCAGGAAAGATCCCAATCTACTAGAATGCTTAACATTCTCAAAAGGGACCCCCCCCCCCAAGTGTATGGAAACCCACCATCAAAAATCAACTGCAGCTACCCCACAGGCTCCTCCGCCCAAACGAAATGTGCTTCTTTCGGCCTGTGCCCCGTGTTGTTAAGGTTTAGGGCTTAGGGTTCCAAATGAATTGTCAGTGGAGGTCTCCTAAGTAAACTCCGAGGCTCTGAATTTCTCAACCCTTCCTATCCGCTGAAGCCATCCTGAAAAACATGGGGGGTTCCCAAAATTAGGGGTACCATTTTGGGGCGTCCCAATATTCAGGATTATAATCTTTTGGGGTCTATATTGGGGTCCCCCTATTTTGGGAAATTACCACATGCCTGAACTGGACCCAGCCTTCCCCTCGGACCTTCATTTAAGCTTTCCCCTCCCTGGGCCTTTGACGTAAAAAGAAGAAGGCACCGCAAGGCCAATTGAAATGCCCCCGAAATGGCGCTCCTCCTCGCGGCATCAGTTTGTCAGGATTCGGGACTTCTTGGTTGGGGCCTAGTCTTGCTCTAACCATCTTCTGTTGTCATGAAATTTGACTGACTGGGCGTTCTTGTCTTGTCATGACTCTGGGAACCCAAACACCTAAAATTAGGATCCTATGACTATCGAATGAGCTTTGGTCTAAACTCCGAATATCCCCCTAAATAACCCCTATAGTAGTCCCCTATATAACCCCCTTTAAAGAATTTTTTTATTATAGCTCATATGACGATAGTAGAGCTCCAATTTGGGGGTTGGGGTGACCGACATTCTGTCATTTATAAGCAGGCAAGATGCCGGGCGGCTTCCTAAAATCCAAGCACCCTAAACATCCACCCTGCAGCTACCCCTAGTATATAACTACCCCTATTTAGGGTTTATGGTTTAGGGTAACATCCACCCCGTAACTCATGGGGTTCCTCTACTACCCCCTTTGTAGTTCCCCCCTTAATTCAGGTGATTTAAAGACAATTTTGCTTAACTACGGCTAATTAAGGTGGAACCCAGCCGGGTAGTATAGAGGGGCGTAGCAAGGAAACCCATGAGTAACTACCCCTAGTAGAAGGATTAATTGCAGAAGGACCTGCTAAAGAAGAGATCTCAAGTTCCGACATGGGAGTTCCTCAAAATGCAGCTACCCTTGGGGACCCTGGGGCTACATCTGGATTACAAAGGGATATTGGGGGGGGGGAGGGAGGAGGGAGGGGGTTAGGGTTTAGGCTTTAGGGATGTTGGGATCGGGGTGGGGGCGGGTCTTATTAAGGGTTCTATACGGGTGCCTTTGAGAATCTCCCATATACCCGCAGGAAGTCCAAGTACCCAGCATTATACACTTCCCCACAACCAGTGATACCAGCACTGTCATCTAAATCTCATATACTTGTTTATGGGTACCTGCAGCCTCAGCATCGAAAGCCAGAAGGTACACCCCCTTAACCCTAAACACTATAAGCCCTGCAGCAATGTGGGTAACAAAACTACCGTAAAACGTCTTGACATACTGCAGGATTTAACAACATGGTACCCCCAAACCCTAAACCCTNNTAAACCCTAAAACCCTAAGCCACGTAGACTGTAGAGCTTGATGTAAGGAGCACCTCGCCAACCCAAAGAAGCAGCACCCACATAATAAGAAAGCATAAACTAGATTAGTCATTGGCGCTAAACCCCTGAGTCCCATAACCCCTAAAGTCCCAGATGCTGTTGAAAGCAAAAGCAGGTCCAGCCCACGAAGGTAGCAGAAAATTAGGTTGACTGTCATACTACCACGTAAAGCAGTTCAGCAAAAAGCAATGCAACAACTTCCCAAGAGACGTGACGGTCTGGGGTGTAGGCTCGGGGCTTACTGCGCCTATTGGATGGCACGAAGGTCAGGAAAGTTACCGATGATGAGTCAAAGTTTCGGAATGAATCGATACAAGCATGGATGCCACCTCCGCCTATGGCTATTCTCTACTCCACTATGCAGGTATGTCCCTAGTCAAAAACAATCCCAAAGTCTCTACTCCACTGTACCTCTTTCCAATGGTCGAGTCTCATTCTCCACCAGAAAGGTTTAGGGTGTAGGACCTAGTCCGCATTTGTCGTAACCCCTACTTCCCCCGTTGCGAAGCTGTAGGCTCTCAGCGCCCACCCTCCTCCACGTAATAATCTCGCAAATAACCTGGGTTGCTGTTAAGGA